ATATTTTAGGCTAATTGGAGTAATCATCAAACACAACAACCACAAGCGTTTAGTGGAACTATTCCAGTAATTGATTGAGTATTAGTATTTCATTGTTATTCTTAGTAACATAAGAAAATATTGAAAAAGAAATCTTATTTATTAAACATCATTTATAAGAATAAAAGAGGAATGATAAAAAGAATTTATGTTTAATTGTTTTTTTTAAAAATATATATAACGATAATATGTTAAAGAAATATTTTCTCAATTATAAGATCAAATAATGATAGTCCGAAGTTTGATCTTTCATTAAATGGGATGATTTTTTATTTGGCACTTCGGTTTTTTTTATCGCGTATCCAAGAATTCTCGAAGGAACTTCATTGTCGGTAATGCTTTTTAACTTAAACTTTATTACTATCATATAAAAAAGTACTTTTATAATTAGAGCATCATTCTTCGAGACATTGAACTTTTGTTCCTTGAGAAAGAAAGAGCATTGCCATATCTTGCATCCTAAGATACCCTTTCAAATAAAAAAAAAAGTTTAGCATATAGAAAGATGGTTCACAGATAATTTCGAGTTACTAAATAAGCTATTTTTGACCCTTGTTATATGAATATCTCCTAAAAACATCATGATGTATGACTGCAAACTTTACCATAGCCTCTTCACTACAGCCCGAATGTATTTTGAAAATCTCACTCATTCTGAATATCCTTAGGCCAAGATCGATTTTTGAGGCGGGGAAGGACTGAAATTATCTTTAGCTGAAAGTGACAGTGATGGAAATACTATAGACTAATTGTTCTCATCTAGTCATCAGTTACTTTTAGAGAATGTATAGATCATTAGAACCAAAAATTTGAGCTCTTTCAGAATGTTGGCCTTGAAAAATTGTCTGTTTTTGTTCGAAATTAATCAGAGTAACCTATTAAAGGCCCAAAAAATTTCTCTACAGACTTTTTGGATAAAATAGCTACAGCTTAGTTCAATAAAATATGTCGTAGAATATTTCTGATCCTATATTCAAAGAGAGCATGAAATTCGCATTATCAACTATACTTTTTGCCTTGTTTGAGATACTTTCAAGCAGGCTAAAATGAACAAACATTATAACCAGAAATTTCAGCTCTTATGTTCAGTCCGAAATAATTTTTTGAGCTTTTCAAAGATAACTATATTACCCTTGAACAAAAACTAAGACGATCAAGATTTTGTTTCTAACCCGTAACTTTTGTATTTATCGGATACACTCAAAAGATTTCCAAAATAAACAGACATTTTTTCTTAAAGCTTTCGGCTCACTCATTATTTATTCTCTCCTCTCAGGGAGTAGTCAACCGTGCTCGAGACGCTGTACTTATGCAGGTTGACGTCAATACTTCTGTTGTCAGACTCGCAAATGAATATAAATTGGATCTGAAATTAAACCTGAATATAGAACTAAACCCGTCCGGGTCTGAAAGCGTTCCCAACTCTCCCCTCGATAGTATTTCTAAAATCTTAAGAAAGATGCTTTGTTCTTTTAATATTATCTCATAAATCTTTTTGAGTAATTCTTTTATTTTCTTGTTAAAAAAATAAATAAAATTGAAGTAAAACAAATATCTTATTTATAATTGAATTTTATTTATCTTTCCGATATTTTTTTTTTAGATGTTAAATTTAAACTTTTAGAAAGAAAACAATGACAAGTGATACAGCATTTAGTAGTGTCGATGAAACGAATGTTCATCCAACGACACGACATTTTGATGTTGCACCATTGGAAGATGATGAAGATCATCCAATGATGTTATCATCTTCAAATTCAATTGATGATCAACAATCTCCATCAACAAAAACTAATGTTGAAACATTGGATGATAAATCATTGAGTAAATTATATGATGATTGGTTAGAATTAGACGCTGAATTACGTTTATTTGAACCAAAACATAAAGAATATGTCGGAAAATTAGATGAAGTTGAATCATTAAAAGCTAAATATCGAATGGAATATGATAAATATAAGAAAAAACTTGATCAAATACAAAATGATATCAAGGAATTAAAAAAGACATATTCTAAAAAAGGTATTGAAGTTTTACTAAATATTATACCCGAATATGAATTATATCGCCAACTGATCTTTTTCTGTGAAAAAAAGGAGTGTTGAAGCACATAGAGTAGAAATTCGAACGCATTCCTCCTCACCTACACAGATCGCGTAAGACATTGTTGACATGCGATCAAAGACCGTATATCAATAACGTCTTGTTCTAATATATGAAATAATTCCTTATTGCATTGCTGGATGATTAAGTAAAAAGATGGTGAAGACATGCGTCATAAAATAGACAGAAAAATGCTCTTTTACTGTGATTAGCAAGATCAGTTACATCGTGTTTTACATTTTAGTCTCACAGGAATTGTGCTAATAGCTTTTTTTTCACAACATAGATTGTCAGTACGGCTACATGAGGGGTCAAAATGTGAAACTCACAAACTCTGATTGTTATAAATTTATAGTATATTGTCAGAAGAGTTAAAATAATTTATT